GATCCTGGCACTTGGTCACATGAAATTCTGTCGTTTCTTTAAAAGAGGACTTTGTGAGAATTCGTCTGAGGTTCTTCGGCTGCCTCCTACTGTTTATGAATTTCCGATTTTTAAATATTTTAGACATAGATTCGTCGGTTTTCAAAACGTCGTTGAGTTGGTAAACAATCGGTGCAACCTTTGTATTCTGGGGATTATGACTTCACCTGAGTATACCCGATTGTTACTGTTGTTAACAGTATAACCAATATTTGCCCCCCCCCAATGAAACTTTGACGGAGAAATATTTAATTATGTTCTTAAAAAGTGGATATATGCTGACTTTAAAGCACTGAATATTTTCATAAGCAATGACGTCATATGTTTGAAACGACGTCTTGAAATGACGTAAATTTAAAATTACCATGATTTCTACAGAAAAATGTATATATTACGTCGATATTTTGAGTGAAAGTCACCGAGCACAGGTCTGATCGGGCTCAATATTTTAACATGATGTGTAGAATGATGATATCAATGAAATATGTAAGCATTGTGATTGTGCGCATGTTTCGTTCTACGGGCTGTTTCTCGGAGATAGGTGAGACTTTTCTCTGAGGACGATCACTGGTTGTAGAAGTGTTGTGTGGTCATTCAGTTTCAAAATGGCTACTGTTGCCATGGAAATCTGCAAAAGCGACGAATTTTGTCCGAGAGTGTTCTTTTTGGTACCTTGGACATTCGTCAGGAAAATTTGTTGGTTTAATGATTAGTATCTGTAATTGTGTGTGTTGCATTTAAACCGGGTGTGACCGGTCAGCAGGAGATGCTCACTCCTCCATGGCACCTGATACCACCTCTGATGTTTCGGAGGTACGTGTTTGCTCTGCTCTTATTTTGTATTATTTTATGGACTTGGAGATTGAATATTGTTCGTTATTTCCATATCCTTCATTTAAAAATTGCAAATTGTCAATAGTTGCCAAGGAAACAGGGGAAAAGTGAAATTTCTTTAACTTTGATTTTAAATTAAAGTGTCGATAGGACTAATGCGAGTTGATGGTTGTCCAAGCTTAGCTAATGGGTATTGTTTTAGTGATAAAAAAGGAAAGTCTTGTCCAGTTTAAGGCGTCATATGCTATTGCGTGTAATATTCAAGATTCCAGTTCCCCAAGACCAGAACAGTCTTGTTCGAGGGGAACTGGAATCTTGGTAATTTCCTCAATGATATACTGTAACTCTATATTATTATCCCTCTGCTTACTTTTCCAATATAAAAATTTGATCGTTTATATATAGTTAATGTATAATAATTTATCTTTAGAGTTAATGTTTTAGAAAGTTTATCAATAAATTCATTTACAACCAAAATATGTCCAAAAATATATACCAATCAAGACATTGAAAACTCTATATTTTGCTTGAGAATTCATGATTTGAAATATATGCTAAGAAAATTCTTACAAAATAGTCGAAGATACACTCATTTACCTTTTAAAAATCAGTTTGTCTTTTTTCCACAAAAATATTGTGGCTATGGTTTATATTGACTCTAGACGAGTGGGGAAATTCTACTCTGAGTAGGAAAGAGGGGGGAAATTTGGCTCTAGTGTGAAATTTCCGTCGGGGGGGGGGGATTTTACTGTAGAGTACGATTTCCGGGGGGGGGGGAGCTGGATGTGGGGGAAATCCTCTACAACACCGGTACATGATTTTTCAAAAAAAATTCCATATCTTCTATCTATCTTATTCTTTACTCATCATCATAATAACAGTAAATAACAAAAATATACTGCATATAAACATTATTTACAAAACACAGTTATGATTTCCTCAATGAATTCTGATTTAAGATTTTTAAAAATAAGAAGAATTTGACACACGAAGAAGACAAATGTATTTATACTCGTCAATCAAAATTTAACAATGACTTTCGTTATATTTTCCTTTTCAGTCCCCGGAAAATATGTCGCAATTAAAAAGAATAATTATTTATTTACTCCATAATTTCTTGTTTGTGGATTATCGTATCAATTAAATCGCTGGTTTCCGAACAATATTTTAAGCTAAGCTGATGAAACAGATTTTGAATCAGCTGTTCTTTAAATAAAACACCAAGCTTAATATGTCTGCGGTGGCATCTCTTCCAATTATTAAATGAGGTATTTATAACTCTTTAAAAGTTGTATTCCACCATAAATCAAAGCTATTGATTACTCCAATATAAATTCTGGAAGCTAATCAAAAGAATTTGATCAACTTTTTTTCATAACCACCAGATATAAAAATTTGTAATTATTATGAGTTTTATAGATATATACCTAAGTCTAATATACTAGTACCTAAAATAACAATCCTTCGACGGTTAATCGGTTAGCCGGGTACTCGTTGACAAAACTAGTTTCAAGTAATTCTCAATTCTTTAAAAGATATGAAATGTGATACATTCATTTTTTTCATATATCTAATTTTTTTCAGTAGTATTTGGAACAACCCATTTACTTAGTAATTCGTAAATTATATAAAAATATGCAATTATTATGAGTTTTATAGATATATACCTATGGCTGTCCCACTAATATACTAGTATTTATACTGTTTTCTTGAAAATGTATGACTTTCAACGCTATTACTGAGGCCCGTTTAGTAGGAAACACCCGAAATTTTATGAACATATGTTAATCTCTGATATTTATATATCCATAAGTTCTCCAACGTAATGAATTCTGACAAAAGTTTTTTTGGGGGTTATGTCATACATACAATGTATACGTCGACCTATTTTATATTAAAAATCGCTTTAATTATGACAATATTTTAATCAGATGTTGCCAATTGCTGTAGGTCAATGATACATTGCTCTAAGACTCAATGAACATTTAGAAATAATTTGCAATCTTGTATGAAATCAGAAAAAAGTCTCAGAAGGCACAAAAACTAATCATATCTTCAAATGGGATCAACAATCTTCAAAATATCAGTCAAGAAAGGAAACCCCTGCAGTCAATTCTTTGCAATAAAGGGACAATTTGCAATATCCTAAGCATTCGAACACATCAAATCACTGAATCAAATACTCAATAGAATTTGATCGATGTTACTAATCACTAGGAATAAAAAGAAGTTGCAAAAAATCTACCTGTTTCAAAAATGTGAAAATGGTACACCGAATAAAACATTTTCTTTGTGTTGTCTTCGTTTTGCAGGTTAGCTTTGCAAATGATTTTAATTTTGCGTGCAACGCCTTGTTTTACAAGGCATTCGTATGTAATGGAACTGCAAGCAGTTCTTTATTTCATTTTATTCCTATGATCGCTCCAACTTCTACAAATTGTTCTGCCGAATGCCTTAAAAAAAGAAATCCCATCTGCGTTGGATTTTTGTTCAGTGCAAAGAGAACATCCTGCAATTTGTTGAAAACATTTTTAACAGAAAATTATCAAGCCTCGTTAGACGTCCTTGGTGAAGATTGGGAATATTTTAGCATTAAAGGTAAGCTGAAAACACTTGGCATCATCAATTTATTTATGATTGCCATGTAAGATTTGTGTGATCTATTTTACTGTAAAGGTCATCTGCATTTTTCTTCTACAAACCAAATTTGTCAGTATCAGCACCAATAAAGCTAAACCTGTCTGGTTTCCTTTCCTGCTTTTCTTCGTCTTTTACAGAAAAAGACAAAGGCAATCAGACATACACATATACTGTAAAAACACATATTTTCGAGGTTTGAGGAAAAAAATTGGTTTGTGGCAATTCGATTTCGTGGCAGGAGAATGTTTAGTAGTAATGCATATGATCCCAACTTTGATGCCATGGCGCGATCTTCATTCAGCCACAACTGATCCTAAGTCTATGTTTGATTATGAACAAAATATTTACATTTCAAATGTCTTTGTCCGAGATAAAATTACCTAATGTAAATGTTTTGTATCATAAACAGGAAGTTTGAGTTCATAAATTCGAAATCTAGATCCCGATACATTACATACATAGGATGAATTAGTACTAACAAAAGAATTGACCTGTAGGAGATAACAATTTTTCAGAAAAGGTCTCATTTAAAAGTCAGTGTTCTTATTTTTCTCTATAATGTGTTGGTCTAAATGTTTTAAATTTTCATTTTGAACGTAAATTGATTATCTGCAATTTTGAAATAAACATCCAAAAGTTGTCAAAACAGTATTTTTTCTGTTAAACCATATTTTGCGTGAATTTTGGCTTAGAAATTCCTGCAGGGCAGGTCCGTCTCTAAATAAAATTTTGAGAAATTTTGGTCTAAGGAATAATTTAAACAATTTTCAGGGCACGGGGCACTCCTGCCCTAAGGTCGAAATTAAAAAAAAAAAAAAAAAAAAAAAACAACAACCAAAGTATGCAAAAATCTATTTCCTTAATAATTATAAATATTTACTACCAATAACATTCTAGTCAGTATAGAACAAAACAGAATATTTCATTTTTAAATTAGAGCCCAGAACAGACAAGTATGGAATTAGTACAATAAATAATTAATATAAGCCAATGAACAGCAAAACAATAAGTAAATGATATAAATAATTTCAACAGTAATCCTGTTTCAATCAAAAGGAATACAACAATATACATGAACGTGTGTGAAGAACTATATGACTACTTTAACGTTTTATCATTTATAAATTTGCCCACAAAATTAAGAGTTTCCTTATCTTCTGTTTTGAGTAACCAATTAACTTTTTGTTCATCATCTAAAGCTGAGAAGGATGGAAATTTACTTTTAATTAACAGAAATATTTCTTTCCTTTGATGAAATTTTTACATATTAATGTATAGCTCGGGAAGAAAGGTCGCAGACGCCCACGCCTCTCACAACTCCCTTCCGCTCCTATTTTGCCATGTTTAATGGACTTTTGATATACATATATATGCGTATAAAGAATGATATATATGTATATATAGAACGACCCCTGCTCCATATTTTCATCTCTTTTCATCTTTATAAGATGTCTTTTAGTTAATGTTTTTGCAATTCTCTTCCTCAGTGGTAAACCTGGCGCTTGGTAAGACCGTCTCTAGTAGCAGCATCTATCCATATCCCCCATATTCAAAAGAGAGCTATGCCGTGGATGGTAGGACAGACTTTACTGACAACAGTCTACTGTTTCACACAGACTTCGAACTTTATCCCTGGCTGACGGTAGACATAGGAACACTCTGTATTGTGAAAAATGTAATTCTTTACAACAGAAGCGATGGCCATGGTAAATGTGAAGTTAACTTATTACTTTAATCTAATATGTGTGGTTTCATTTTCTCAGTAAAGAATGTTATTCTTTACACTGACCAGATAAAAACATGGGTAGCAACTGTTCCTCCGCCATGCACTCGGCACTTTGAAATGTAAATGTCAGAAGTTAACTTACCCTTACTTTTTGAATCATGGTGATATGTGTGGTTTTACAATATTCAATTTCTCAGAAAAATTATTTCAATTTTTGTTTTTTTAAGGTCGCTGGCTACATAGTATTGAGATAAGAGCTGGACTCTCTTCCGTTTGGTCCGAGATGAACATGTGTGGCACAGTCCTTGGACCGAGTCAAACTGGAGAAATCCACACCATAGAGTGTGAAACCAAACCCCTCCTATATGGGTCTTATGTCACTGTGAAAATAGTGCGTCCTAACTACATTACAGACGACCCTATGGCATTCGGCGGAAAAAATGTCTTGTGTTTAAGAGAAATTGTCGTCAATGGCCGTGATGCATAAATCACAGTTTAATTAACATTTTTTTATATATTAAACATACACATATAAATGTATAAAAATTATTTCAAATTAAATCAAGTTTCCATTTTTAATTTTGGCCTTCCAATGTACAATGAAGTAAATTTCACTTTACTTCTAATGATAATCTCAATATGTGATTTAAAAGAATAAAACTCGCGCACACAACAAAAACTAACTACAGAGAGTTATGGAGTATCATGTAAGAAAAGCAGAGTGAACATCGATTTAAAAAAACTTTACACATTATACGAAAGTGTGAACAGGTTATATATATAAAACACGGGGCCTGATAATTCTAGAGTTGGGATCAGGTGGCTATGAATAGCAAACATCCCCTGTTGACAGTCCTTACTTCCGTGATTACCATGTATTGATCGGGTAGAAGGGATATTCTGTAGTCAAATTTAGTGAAAGAAAAAAAAAACAAAGAAAAATGAATTCTAATGAAATGTATTATAAATTTACATGGAAATTATAATGGCCTTTGAATTTACAAACTTTTGACATTAAACGAGATTAATCAAAAGTTAAAGGTGCATAGACACAGATTTGAAGTTAATATTTTCTATATAATATATTTTTGAATAAAAACAATACATCCGAACGCGAATGAGTTTTAACTAAGGAGGAAGAATATTAATTTCAAATCTATTTCTATGCACCTAAACCAAATTTTAGGATAATTCTGGATTCATTTTGTTTACGTTTTTCTTTTTTATAAGTTTTCAAAAAGTCATATCAATTGATTAATTTTTTTTTTCATTTTTCCCAGTTGAGCAACCCTTTTACTTATTAAAGTATTTTATGATAAATGTTATTTTTTTATATATATATATATATATATATATATATATATATATATATATATATATATATATATATATATATATATATATATATATATATATATATATATATATATATATATATATATATATATATATAAATGCGATGGACTCCAAAGTGTGGGATTCCAAATGGTCACGCCAAATCCGATGGTCTGCGCCAAACCCCGATGGTTTGACACGCCAAAGTCCGATGGTGCGGAAAATAATTAACGTTTATGACGTCATAATTCTGCTGCTCAAAAATGCGATGCCGCGCCATGCCAAGCCCGATTTGTTTAAAATAAAATACATATAAATATTAAATGCAAAGATTAACCCTGATCTTTTAGATATAGGTGCGAGACTAACACTTATCAGTCGAAAAATGTGTTAAAAAACTACAAGCTAGATATCTTGGATGGGTGCAGGACTAACCCAAATCAGTCCAATAGTGTGCGAGGACTAACCATAAAATCTCTCGGTGAAACACATTGATGTTCAAGATCTAACCCTTATCAGTCGAAAAGTCTAGAAGGACTAGCCTTAGTAGCTCTGGTAGGCGAAACAATAAGCAATATCAGTAAAAATGTATGCGAGACGAATACGGAATCAATAAATTTTGAATGCAGGACAACGTCATGACGTAGGAACATTGTGACGTCATAAACGTTGATTGTTCCTCCGCACCATCGGACTTTGGCGTGTCAGACCATCGCACTTTAGCGTCGCGCGTCTCATAGGAAACTAGCCATAGGACTTTCGCATGACCATCGGACTTTGGCGTCCGTATATATATATATACATATATATATATATATATATATATACCATCGGGGTTTTATATATATATTATAAAATATACTATTATATCATATATATTATATATATATATATATATATATATATATATATATATATATATATATATATATATATATATATATATATATATATATATATATATATATATATATTAATTCAAGATGTCCTTGGTATACATATAGAAAAATAATCCAGAGTTTGGAAAAGATGATCACATTTTATTCCAAAGCGCTTTCGGCTCTTTAGTGGATTTTGAATAATAGCAACATAACGTCGTTATTATGACGTCATAGTTAAAGGACAACGTTAAAATTTGGCGCAAAAAATGTCCGTAGAAAGCGCCAAAATAAATAGACTTGATACTGTAAATGATACATATTTTACAAAGAATTAGTCTCTAATGAAGACAGTAAAACCATGCGCAAGATTAAGAAATTTACAACTAATTTTGCGGATAATTTAACCAAAAAGGAAGTGGATTATTTAATCAAATTTGAAGTTAAACCTAGTAACTTTTATGGTTTACCAAAGATCCACAAATCCAAAGAAATACAGGACGGACTTGAAGGTAAAAACTCATTATATATAAAATTACCTCGACCAACGGATTTAAAACTTAGACCAATTGTAGCAGGCCCTGATGCCCCACGCACAGAATCAGTAACTTGTTGGATATACTTCTAAAGCCTCTATGCCAACTTGTACCAAGTTATGTAAGGGATGATTTGGATTTTCTCGGCCACATTCCAGATACAGTTGAACTAAATACTGAGATGGTTAGTTTTGATGTAACGAGCCTCTATACCAACATACCGCATACACTTGGATTAGAAGCAATCGCTTTTTGGATTGACAAATACCACAATCAAATTAATGAAAGATTTTCTAAAGATTTTATTCTAGAAGGAATGAAAATAGTATTAGAGAATAATCATTTTGTTTTTGACGGGAGAAATTTTCTACAAATTAAGGGAACAGCAATGGGCACAAAAGTTGCCCCAACCTATGCCACCCTAGTTCTCGTTTAGAAGAAAAACTGTTCAACGAAACAGGGAGACGATTTGGAAATCCTTTTGCGCAATACATACGATTTAATTGGAAACGATACTTAGATGATTGTTTCATTTTTTGGACAAGATCTACTGAGGATTTACAAGAATTCCATACCATTCTTAACAATCTGCATCCTTCTATTAAATTTACCTTGGAAAAGAGCAGGTCAGAACTACCCTTTTTGGATATTCTTATAATTAAGGTGGGTCGCAAGATCATAACAGATTTATACTACAAGAAAACGGATTCCCACCAATATCTCGTATTTAATTCTTGCCACCCGTCACACGTAAAACGTAACATACCTTTTAATATGGCAAGACGTGTTTGTACCATTGTCATAGATGAAACCAGAAGAAATGACCGTCTACAGGAATTAAAAACATTTTTGATCAGACAAAAATATCCTAACGACTTAATAGATATAGCAATTGAAAAGGCCAAGTCAATACCGACTGCAGATCTCCGTTCTACTAGACGAGGACGCCAGGAAAACCATAAGGAAATCCCGCTGGTCGTTACCCATAACCCACGGAACCTTAATATATATAACTCCGTAAAACAGTGTTTTCCTATTTTACAGCAATCCCAAAATTTAAAGGAATTAATTGACCCAAAGAGCATCATCTATAGCCGACGCCAACCTCCAAACCTAAAGAAACTCCTAACAAGAGCCAGATTCTCGTCGGATGAGGAAAAACGCACTGTAACCAAATGTATGGATCCCCTGTGTGGAACATGTTCTTATTTAAAAACCGGAGAAAAGTTTACATTTAAATGTGGTAAAACGTTTACCGTCAATGCGAATATGTCATGCAAAACTAGAAATTTAATATGCTGTATGACTTGTACTTCATGCGGGGAAAACTATATTGGACAGACCGGTAACAAACTAGCTGACCGTGTAAGAGTCCATAAACAACAAATACGAGACTCCTCCGTCGTGAATACACCTTGCAGTGAACATTTTGATTCATGTGCGAATGGAAACTTTTTAATATTTCCATTTTATAAAGTCACAGAAGATAATGAACAATTACGGAGGGCCAAGGAAGACTATTTTGTTAAATTATTTCAGCCTAAATTAAATGTAAATTGAACATTTTAGCTTTAAAGAAATGGTCCATTTTATTACAGTGTACATGTGTTTAACTCTATACATTTGGCGCTTTTTTGACATTTACCTGTGCCATATATATATATATATATATATATATATATATATATATATATATTTTTATTATATTGTTATATATATATATATATATATATATATATATATATATATATATATATATATATATATATATATATATATATATATATATATATATATATATATATATATATATATATATATATATATATATATATATATTTTAAATAAATAAAAACACAGAGAACGAGTAAAACATAAGCGCTTTCATTTCTTCTTCATGATGTTTTACAAAATACTCATGGTAACGTCTATTGTGACGTCATAATAACTTAACGTTAACAAGTCTTTGATTGACGTCATATTTTTCCCGTACTTTCACAGAACAATGCATTAACAAAGAATACAATAACAAAGCAATAAATGTGACTCAATAACATAATTTACATGTAAAGAAACAATTCTTTTACATTAAACTATTTAATTTAGGTTTGAAAGTCCTTATAAAATGTCATTCTTTATCACGTCTTTCGATTGTGTTAGAATTGTGCAGTTTATAAAATGGAAAGACAGTAAATGTTTTATTTCCGCACACATCTAAGTGTTCACTGACTTTGAGTTTACGATATTACGGTACGTTTATTTGTTGTTTGTGTACTCTGATCCTTTCCCGTAAGGTACTTCCCGTCTCACCGATATATAGTTCCCCGCAACCGGAACATGTTATAACGTATATAACATTTCTAGTTTGACATGACATGTTATTATTAACAGTAAACTGTTTCCCGTTAAAATTGAAACTTTGTCCTTGTCGTATGTATGGGCAAGTACCACAACGCGGATCCTGGCACTTGGTCACATGAAATTCTGTCGTTTCTTTAAAAGAGGACTTTGTGAGAATTCGTCTGAGGTTCTTCGGCTGCCTCCTACTGTTTATGAATTTCCGATTTTTAAATATTTTAGACATAGATTCGTCGGTTTTCAAAACGTCGTTGAGTTGGTAAACAATCGGTGCAACCTTTGTATTCTGGGGATTATGACTTCACCTGAGTATACCCGATTGTTACTGTTGTTAACAGTATAACCAATATTTGAATGAAACTTTGACGGAGAAATATTTAATTATGTTCTTAAAAAGTGGATATATGCTGACTTTAAAGCACTGAATATTTTCATAAGCAATGACGTCATATGTTTGAAACGACCCCCCAATGACGTAAATTTAAAATTACCATGATTTCTACAGAAAAATGTATATATTACGTCGATATTTTGAGTGAAAGTCACCGAGCACAGGTCTGATCGGGCTCAATATTTTAACATGATGTGTAGAATGATGATATCAATGAAATATGTAAGCATTGTGATTGTGCGCATGTTTCGTTCTACGGGCTGTTTCTCGGAGATAGGTGAGACTTTTCTCTGAGGACGATCACTGGTTGTAGAAGTGTTGTGTGGTCATTCAGTTTCAAAATGGCTACTGTTGCCATGGAAATCTGCAAAAGCGACGAATTTTGTCCGAGAGTGTTCTTTTTGGTACCTTGGACATTCGTCAGGAAAATTTGTTGGTTTAATGATTAGTATCTGTAATTGTGTGTGTTGCATTTAAACCGGGTGTGACCGGTCAGCAGGAGATGCTCACTCCTCCATGGCACCTGATACCACCTCTGATGTTTCGGAGGTACGTGTTTGCTCTGCTCTTATTTTGTATTATTTTATGGACTTGGAGATTGAATATTGTTCGTTATTTCCATATCCTTCATTTAAAAATTGCAAATTGTCAATAGTTGCCAAGGAAACAGGGGAAAAGTGAAATTTCTTTAACTTTGATTTTAAATTAAAGTGTCGATAGGACTAATGCGAGTTGATGGTTGTCCAAGCTTAGCTAATGGGTATTGTTTTAGTGATAAAAAAGGAAAGTCTTGTCCAGTTTAAGGCGTCATATGCTATTGCGTGTAATATTCAAGATTCCAGTTCCCCAAGACCAGAACAGTCTTGTTCGAGGGGAACTGGAATCTTGGTAATTTCCTCAATGATATACTGTAACTCTATATTATTATCCCTCTGCTTACTTTTCCAATATAAAAATTTGATCGTTTATATATAGTTAATGTATAATAATTTATCTTTAGAGTTAATGTTTTAGAAAGTTTATCAATAAATTCATTTACAACCAAAATATGTCCAAAAATATATACCAATCAAGACATTGAAAACTCTATATTTTGCTTGAGAATTCATGATTTGAAATATATGCTAAGAAAATTCTTACAAAATAGTCGAAGATACACTCATTTACCTTTTAAAAATCAGTTTGTCTTTTTTCCACAAAAATATTGTGGCTATGGTTTATATTGACTCTAGACGAGTGGGGAAATTCTACTCTGAGTAGGAAAGAGGGGGGAAATTTGGCTCTAGTGTGAAATTTCCGTCGGGGGGGGATTTTACTGTAGAGTACGATTTCCGGGGGGGGGGGGGCTGGATGTGGGGGAAATCCTCTACAACACCGGTACATGATTTTTCAAAAAAAATTCCATATCTTCTATCTATCTTATTCTTTACTCATCATCATAATAATAGTAAATAACAAAAATATACTGCATATGAACATTATTTACAAAACACAGTTATGATTTCCTCAATGAATTCTGATTTAAGATTTTTAAAAATAAGAAGAATTTGACACACGAAGAAGACAAATGTATTTATACTCGTCAATCAAAATTTAACAATGACTTTCGTTATATTTTCCTTTTCAGTCCCCGGAAAATATGTCGCAATTAAAAAGAATAATTATTTATTTACTCCATAATTTCTTGTTTGTGGATTATCGTATCAATTAAATCGCTGGTTTCCGAACAATATTTTAAGCTAAGCTGATGAAACAGATTTTGAATCAGCTGTTCTTTAAATAAAACACCAAGCTTAATATGTCTGCGGTGGCATCTCTTCCAATTATTAAATGAGGTATTTATAACTCTTTAAAAGTTGTATTCCACCATAAATCAAAGCTATTGATTACTCCAATATAAATTCTGGAAGCTAATCAAAAGAATTTGATCAACTAGAACCACCAGATCAAGTCTAACGGTACCTAAAATAACAATCCTTCGACGGTTAATCGGTTAGCCGGGTACTCGTTGACAAAACTAGTTTCAAGTAATTCTCAATTCTTTAAAAGATATGAAATGTGATACATTCATTTTTTTCATATATCTAATTTTTTTCAGTAGTATTTGGAACAACCCATTTACTTAGTAATTCGTAAATTATATAAAAATTTGCAATTATTATGAGTTTTATAGATATATCCCTATGGCTGTCCCACTAATATACTAGTATTTATACTGTTTTCTTGAAAATGTATGACTTTCAACGCTATTACTGAGGCCCGTTTAGTAGGAAACACCCGAAATTTTATGAACATATGTTAATCTCTGATATTTATATATCCATAAGTTCTCCAACGTAATGAATTCTGACAAAAGTTTTTTTGGGGGTTATGTCATACATACAATGTATACGTCGACCTATTTTATATTAAAAATCGCTTTAATTATGACAATATTTTAATCAGATGTTGCCAATTGCTGTAGGTCAATGATACATTGCTCTAAGACTCAATGAACATTTAGAAATAATTTGCAATCTTGTATGAAATCAGAAAAAAGTCTCAGAAGGCACAAAAACTAATCATATCTTCAAATGGGATCAACAATCTTCAAAATATCAGTCAAGAAAGGAAACCCCTGCAGTCAATTCTTTGCAATAAAGGGACAATTTGCAATATCCTAAGCATTCGAACACATCAAATCACTGAATCAAATACTCAATAGAATTTGATCGATGTTACTAATCACTAGGAATAAAAAGAAGTTGCAAAAAATCTACCTGTTTCAAAAATGTGAAAATGGTACACCGAATAAAACATTTTCTTTGTGTTGTCTTCGTTTTGCAGGTTAGCTTTGCAAATGATTTTAATTTTGCGTGCAACGCCTTGTTTTACAAGGCATTCGTATGTAATGGAACTGCAAGCAGTTCTTTATTTCATTTTATTCCTATGATCGCTCCAACTTCTACAAATTGTTCTGCCGAATGCCTTAAAAAAAGAAATCCCATCTGCGTTGGATTTTTGTTCAGTGCAAAGAGAACATCCTGCAATTTGTTGAAAACATTTTTAACAGAAAATTATCAAGCCTCGTTAGACGTCCTTGGTGAAGATTGGGAATATTTTAGCATTAAAGGTAAGCTGAAAACACTTGGCATCATCAATTTATTTATGATTGCCATGTAAGATTTGGGTGATCTATTTTACTGTAAAGGTCATCTGCATTTTTCTTCTACAAACCAAATTTGTCAGTATCAGCACCAATAAAGCTAAACCTGTCTGGTTTCCTTTCCTGCTTTTCTTCGTCTTTTACAGAAAAAGACAAAGGCAATCAGACATACACATATACTGTAAAAACACATATTTTCGAGGTTTGAGGAAAAAAATTGGTTTGTGGCAATTCGATTTCGTGGCAGGAGAATGTTTAGTAGTAATGCATATGATCCCAACTTTGATGCCATGGCGCGATCTTCATTCAGCCACAACTGATCCTAAGTCTATGTTTGATTATGAACAAAATATTTACATTTCAAATGTCTTTGTCCGAGATAAAATTACCTAATGTAAATGTTTTGTATCATAAACAGGAAGTTTGAGTTCATAAATTCGAAATCTAGATCCCGATACATTACATACATAGGATGAATTAGTACTAACAAAAGAATTGACCTGTAGGAGATAACAATTTTTCAGAAAAGGTCTCATTTAAAAGTCAGTGTTCTTAAATATTTTTTCTATAATGTGTTTGTCAAAATGTTTTAAATTTTCATTTTGAACCTAAATTGATTATCTGCAATTTTGAAATAAACATCCAAAAGTTGTCAAAACAGCATTTTTTCTGTTAAACCATATTTTGCGTGAATTTTGGCTTAGAATTCCTGCAGGGCAGGCCCGTCCCTAAATTAAATTTTGATAAAGTCTAAGGAATCATTGAAACAGTTTTTAGGGCACGGGGCACTTCTGCCCTAGGGTCGAAATTCGGAAAAAAAAAACCAAAGTATGCGAAATTCTATTTCCTTAATAATTATAAATATTTATGACCAATGACATTCTAGTCAGTATAGAACAGAACAGAATATTTTATTTCTAAATTAGAGCCCAGAACAGACAAGTATGAGATTAGTACAATAGTTAATGTAAGCCAATGAACAGCAAAACAATTAGTAAATGACATAAATCATTTCAACAATAATCCTGTTTCAATCAATAGGAATACAACAATATACATGAACGTGTGTGAAGAACTATATAAATACTTAGACGTGTTACCATTTATAAATTTGCCTTCCTTATCTTCTGTTTTGAGTAACCAATTAAGTTTTTGTTCAACATCTAAAGCTGAGAAGGATGGAAATTTACTTTTAATTAACAAACATATTTCTTTCCTTTGATGAAATTTTTACATGTTAATGTATAGTTTGGGAAGAAAGGTCGCAGACGCATACACCTCTTAGAACTCCCTTCCGCTCCTATTTTGTCATGTTTAATGGACATTTGATATACATATATATGCTTATAAAGAACGATATATATGTATATATAGAGCGACCCCTGCTCCATATTTTCATCTCTTTTCATCTTTATAAGATGTCTTTTAATTAATGTTTTTGCAATTCTTTTCCTCAGTGGTAAACCTGGCGCTTGGTAAAACCGTCTCTAGTAGCAGTCTCTATCCATATCCTCCATATACAAATGTGAACTATGCCGTTGATGGTAGGACAGACTTTACTGACAACAGTCTACTGTTTCACACAGACTTCGAACTTTATCCCTGGCTGACGGTAGACTTAGGAACACTCAGTATTGTGAAAAATGTAATTCTTTACAACAGAAGCGATGGCCATGGTAAATGTGAAGTTAACTTATTACTTTAATCTGATATGTGTGGTTTTTATTTCTCAGAAAAAATATTTCAATTTTTGTTTTTTCAGGTCGCTGGCTACATAGTGTAGAGATAAGAGCTGGAAACTCTTCCGTTTGGTCCGAGATGAACATGTGTGGCACATTCCTTGGACCGAGTCAAACTGGAGAAATCCACACCATAGAGTGTGAAACCAGACCCCTCCTATATGGGTCGTATGTCACCGTAAAAATAGTCCGCCCTAACTACATTACAGACGATCCTAATGCAATCGGCGGAAAAAACGTCTTGTGTTTCAGAGAAATTGTCGTCAATGGCCTTGATGCGTAAATCACAGTTTAATTAACAATTCTTTTCAAATAAAACATACACATATTAATGTATAAAAATGATTTCAAATTAAATCAAGTTTCCACTTTTAATTTTGGCCTTCGAATCTACAATGAAGTAAATTTCACTTTACTGCTAATAATAATCTCAATATGTGAATTAAAAGAATAAAACTTGCACACACAACAAAAACTAACTACAGAGAGTTATGGAGTATCATGTAAGAAAAGCAGAGTGAACATCGATTTAAAAAAACTTTACACATTATACGAAAGTGTGAACAGGTTATATATGTAAAACACGGGGCCTGATAATTCTAGAGTTGGGATCGGGTGGCTATGAATAGCAAACATCCCCTGTTGACAGTCCTTACTCCCGTGATTCCCATGTATTGATCAGGTAGAAGGGATATTCTGTAGTCAAATTTAGTGAAAGAATAAAAACACAAAGAAAAATAGATTCTAATGAAATGTATTGTAAGTTTTACATGGAAATTATAATGCCTTTGAATTAACTAACTTTCGACATTAAACGAGATTGATCAAAAGTTAAAGGTGCAAAGACACAGATCTGAAGTTAATATTTTCTGTATTAGATCTATATATTTTAGAATAAAAACAATAGATCCTAACGCGAATGAGTTTTAGTTTTGGAGGAAGAATAATAACTTCAAATCTGTTTCTATGCACCTTTAATGTCAAAACTAAACCAAATTTTAGGATAATTCTAGATTCATTTTGTTTACGTTTACATAAAAGTTGTCAAAAAGTCATCCATTTATTTTTTTTCTTCATTTTTTTCCCAGTTGTATTTAGAGCAACCCATTTATTTATTGAAGTATCTTAAAATAATTTTTTTTAAACTTATAATCGTCCAAATAATAAATATATAGGATTTTTCTTGAAAAACCTTTTAACGCTTGAAGCATGTACATGTACCTAGGATAAACTCCTCAGGATACATAAAAAAAGAATTTGAGATTCACTTACATTTGCTTACCTCTGATATTAATTTTTGATCAGAATTAGTTTTTTCCTTCGTTATGATTTGTGACATTTTTTCGATAAATGTTATCCATGCACATTATTTTATTTTAGATTACTTTACTTTAATGTTATTTTACTTTACATTATGACAATATTAAATTCAGAGGGTAGCAGTTGCTGTAGTCCATTGAAACAGTGCTCTAAGACTCAGTAATTTAAAGTGTGTTGTAACGCACCATTTTATTGGATAAAATACTTTGTTCAAGTTGTTTTCCTCACAAGGGTTACGTCAAAAACATCTTACTCCGTTTGATGATACTTTTTAACTACTGAAGAAGTACTTTTTCCCGCGTGATATTAATTTACGCTATGTACACGGTCACAAATTTTCAGCGAAAATTTGTAGAGTTGAACCTTAAAAACGTTTTAGGCATGTAGTTCGGGTCTACGAAATCCGCGTATTTTTCTACCAGCGGATTAAAGAAAAATGGATATTCCGCGGAATTTTGACCCAAATGAAAAAAGTACGTCTACAGTATACTAAATTTAAAGCTATTTCTGAAGGAGAAAGTGTCGTATTGTCTGTTATGGAATCCGGATAGGGCAATGCAGTTCACTTTCGCACCATCGAGCATCGACTAGAAGATCGCTGAAGTCCATTGTAACATTGCTCTAAGACTGAAAAATTAAAATTTCGTTGTAACACGCCATTTTATTGGATAAAAGACTTAAATAATGCGAAGGCGCGGAAACGATGAAGCGACGGGTGCGATAACAATTGAGCCACGGTGCGAAAGTGCGATGGCGATGATGCGATAGCGGGACAATGCGATAACGATTTGATAACATTGTCATAGCGTGACGGATATGGAGATAGCGAACAATATTCAACATCAAAGTCCATAAAACAATACAAAATAGGAGCAGAAAAACAGGGGCCTCCAAAACAACAGAGGTCGGATGAGGTGCCATGGAGGAGTGAGCATCCGCTGCTGACCGGTCACACCCGCCGTGTGCTTCTTGTCATGATCAAGAAATAACGGCAAAATCCGTCGTCAATTCGGTGTATAAATAATAAACTAACAACAATTAGTGTGAAAAAAGTCAGTCTGCATTTGACTCAATGATAAATTGCATTTGCTGTCGAGGTCTTTGTATCGACCATAGAACTTACGGAATGATGACTTAAAACGAAGCTGCTGATATTCCTGTTTCATCAACTTGTTTGTGAATAATTTACCTCGTTTTAAAAATTGTTCATACGTTGAGCATGCACTTGCATTATCGAATCAATTGAGAAATATGAACTTGTATACAGATGTTGAAGGTATATTGGTGCATAAGTAAGGGATGTTGACAATTGAAAAATTAGAGTCATAACGTTTATCATACAGCTTGGTTGTTAGATTACCATTAACTTCTTTTCAAGTAAAATATTCAAGTATGAAACAGATGTGTCAGACTCTGTGGTATCTTTTATCTCAAGCTCACCAGGATACATCGTATCGACATAGGATTGAGCTTTCCATTTTTAATTGACAATATGTCGTCGATATAACTAAATGTCGAGTTGAAGGCCACAGCAAGTGTTTCCTTCTTATCACACATACGATTTTGCACAATTTTGCTTTATATGAATACAAAAATAGGTCTGCTAATAACGGAGCGCAATTGGTACCCATGGAGATTCCAATACATTGTTGAAGTTTATATGAAGTTTTGGGATCCAAAGATATACACTGTATAGAGTAGTTGAAATTCTTTTTGGTTCTTCGGGATTTTAAAAATATTCAAAACTGACATTTGATTTTAAAGAATTTCTTCCTTAGAAAAGGAACTATGGATATAAGTTGGATTACCATTTGTAGAAATAAATCCAAGTTCTTCTAAAATACAATTAATATAATAGTGAATATCGCTTCATCGTCATCGCACACTCATCTCATCGCTATCGCAACTTTGCGTAATCGCATTATCGCTTTATTATGTTATCGCATCATCGTCATCACATTGTCGCTCTATTGCTTCATGGTCATCGCGCTATCGCACCATCGCTTTATCGTCATTGCATCATCGCATAATCGTGATATCGACCTAAACCTCGATGGTGCAATGATGTGATAGTGAATTACATGGCCATATCAGAATTTCATATTGTACAGTATAACTTTTTAGGTAGATATCAGATTCATTCCTTAAATGAAAATCATTCGCCATCTTGCATGCAATCAGAATGTAAGTCTCAGAAGATTCTAAATTACAAAAAAGATAATCATAGCTTCACCGTAGATAAAGTTATCAGAATATTACTCAAAAGGGGGAACCCTGCAGACATTTTTTTTCCGCAATAAAGTAAAAATTAATCAGTATGACATTAAAATAGTTGCGTATTATCTGTATTTTCATCGGTTTTTTGTTTTGCACCAACCTTTATTCAAAGACTACTGTATCCTTCTCAAAAGCGAACAAGCCAAAATGCCGTCGGAAGTAAAACAGCTAGAAATTAAATGAATAAACTACAGCATTTAAAGACTTTTAGAGTTATTTTATTTATTTTTATTTTTAAAATCCTTTTCAAAATAGAAAGTTGATACTTAGATTTCAACATTTTTGATTGATTCTGGAAAATGAAAAATACAAATTTACAAAATACAGAGGTGATCATCTGAAATAAATTATTTAGTTATTGCATTTTTTTTTCTGTGTAAAAAGCCTTTTAAAAACCTTGTCAACATAAAACAAACATACAGTGACCTTACATTGCACACGCACACACGCATTAAAATCACCGAATCAAATATTTATACAATTCGGTCGATGTTACTAATCCCTAGGAATAAAAAGAATTTTCACAAAAGCCGTGGTACAGAGACCGCTTCGAATCTGTTAAAATGGAACGCCGAATTACACATTTTCTTTTTGCTTTCTTCGTTTTGCATGCCAGCTTTGCAAAAGATTTCAATTCGGTGTGCAATGCCTTGTTCTACAAGGCCTTCACATCTGATGGAGCTGCAAACAGTTCTTCATTTCATTTTAATTCTATGGTCGCTCCAACTTCTACAATTTGTTCTGCAGAATGCCTTAAAAAAAGAAATCCCATCTGTGTTGGATTTTTGTTCAATGCAAAGAGAACATCCTGCAATTTGTTGAAAATATTTTTAACAGAAAATGATAAAACTTTGTTAGACGGCGTTGGTGAAGTTTTGGAATATTTTGTTATAAAAGGTAAGATGAAAACACCTGGTAACATCAATTTATTTATCAACGCCATATAAATTTTGATGATCTATTCTAGAGTAAAATTCATACGTAGTTTCTTACTATTTCTTTCCTTTTTCCATTTTATTCTTTGTGTAGCCATGCTTTTTTCAAATAGAAATTAGAGTAATACACATCCTCATTACACTTACACGCATTATCAACACAGCTTTTTAAGAGTATAAAATTTTAAAACATTAATTAATTGAAGCTGCAATACTCAAAATCTTTCAGCTATGTACTTTAATGTTTGCTGTTCTTTGCTTTAATTTGCTTTTTCTATGGAGGATATAATATTTTCAAAATATTTCTACTTCAATTTCTAATAAATTTGGTTTTTCCAAAAGCAATTAAATTTAGAATTTTATTAAACGATTTGAATAATTAAAATGTGCCATGATATCACGACCAGGAACACGTTGAGTTCCAAGACAGTACCATCTGTCAGAAACCTTTATAGTTAAGCACTGAAAATGGCTCGTTATCATGAATTTACAGGTGAGGTTATGAAAAAATCCGTCCGGTGTCATTGCGTACTTGAGACGATCGGTCTTGTACAGTTTTTCATTTTTTAAGTTAAATTATTTCAACCAATGTCTGAAATTGCAATGGGGAACAGGACTGACACCTTTCTTGGTGTATTAATTTCAGCCGTTAAAATGAAGTAATAAAAGAAGAGTTTGCGTTGGCGATATTAAACCCAAGTGAAATCAAAAGTGGATTTCATTCATTTGCCTTCTGGGATGTTATATTTTTTGTAAATAAATAG